TGACCCCCGTGACTTGTAAAGGAAGAAGTGGGTAAAGATGATGGATGGACAAACCATAAAGTAATTTTATCCCAGCCTCACGGCTCAGTAAAGCGCCTCACCACGACAGCCTAACATCTGTTCTCTGATTGGATTGTTAATTTTTTGACTGACATGACACTGACCAATCAGCTGTGAGGAAGAAAAATCCAGTCATTCATACTTGTATGTTGAAACACATTTTACAAGGTTACAAAACTGATTACAAGCACAAAATAATTATGGCGGACATTTGTGCCCCCGCAGCACAGCCGTCACATCCCAGTGAGATAGTCGCTAAAATATATATATATATATAAAAAACCTATGAGACTTCTTTTCTTGGCTTTTGAAGATGCTTGGCTTCTCATTTAAGGAGCTTTCTCAGTTTGTGTGGAGTTCCAGTCTTTAACACCGAAGGCAGCAGGGCTTAATTTGTAAACTGATTGATGCCAAACAGCGGGCAGGTGGGGGTCGGTGGTGATAGTGGTGGTGGTGGTGGTGGTGGGGGGGATTGGTTTCTATGGGTTCTCACAGAAAATGTTGAATAACAGAGATGCTATTTCCTGCATTTTGGTGTATTTTAACGGGTTGTTATACATCCACATTTACCTACATTTGTAGATACTTTTACAATCTTTGTATTTTAAATTTATTTTTTTACAGTAAACTTTTTTTTATTTATTATGTCTGAAATGTAGCAGGAGTTCAGACACCTGCTGACGTGTGCGCGCGCTGGGTAGAGATTGGAGATGTTTCTGTGCGTAACGTGCACTGTCCACAGGGAATTTATTTATTCTGTTGAATAAAGGATCGTTTCTGTTTCGGGGGTCTGAGAGGGGGTGTTTTTCAGTGCGCAGCCCTGCTGAGGAGGGACGATATTTGGAGAGAAGGACTCTGAGCAGCATCTCTGTGCATAAATGTGACTATCTGACCCGTCCTCACCCCCCACCCCCCACCCCCGCCCTCCTAGAGGCTCCTCTCGTGCTCCTCGAAGGAGCGTGCGGCTGGAATATCCACAGATTGGGTCCGCGGGGCTGAGGGCAACGTCTCCTCTCGTTGTATTTTTTAATAAATAATCAAAATAAAAATGCGCAGTGACTTTGAACTTTTAGGGGCGGAGCTGCCAGATCCAAACAAAGAGTGGCCGGAACAGAACAGGTCGAAATGAGAGAGTTCCCAGATCTTGTTCTGGCGGGATCCGGCTCAAATTAACCACTGGCTAATTCAATTAAGTTTATTTATATAGGGTCAAGTCATCTCAGGGTGCGGAACAGAAAATGTCAAGCGGGTTGGAAGTTTGAAAATAATTTATTACGGTTAATTATTATTATTATTTTTTAGTTTAGAGATCAGCTAAAATAAATTTACCATGCTCTGTTCAGCAAAATATGCTACATAGTACTGCTACCCGCTTGGCTGTGTTGAAAGTTAAACTTAACGTGAACGGCCATGATGACTTGAAAGTAGTCTGCATGCGCCCTCTGCTGGATACATTGTACAATTACACCTTTTGCCAGTAAGGACACAGCTTGTTCTTAGATCAATGCACAATGGGACAATTATCACAGATACAGATATGCCCCCAAACATCAATATCGGCCTAATATACCAGCTCCAATGATATATTGGTTGGGCTCTAGTGAAAAGCATCTGATTATTAAGCTGGAGAAGTTGAACGTACAGTCCCTCGCTACTTAGCGGTTCGACTTTCGTGGATTTTCAAAGTAAGATCGGACATGACACACAGTTAGCAGATTGATGGGTGAGCGGCTTGGATTGTTTATTTTACTTTTTTTTTTTTTTTCAATGATTTAGCACCTGCTGCACCTGTGTGCAGCTCACAGGTGCAGGGAGAAGCTCTCTCCTGCAGCGTGTCATGATATCCGCTCTCTGCCACGCCCACTTCTCCACTGCAATCACAACACTGATCACACATTTAACAACTGTAATATTTTTAATAAACAATCCATGCTGCATGGATTGCTTATTTAAACTTATTTATTGAAAATTTATTTTTGTAAATTTATGTTCATCCCCAGATAATTTCCCCTTTTATGTGCACATTTCTGTGTTTTTCAGTCTAAAAGGGCACAACTGTGCTCTCTCCACTTTCTTCCAGTACTTTAGGTTTCTTTCTGTTGTTTCAACCCAAAACCCGACCTGGACCGACCCGGATTAAGGCCGGGCCAGGTCGTTATATTGTGATTAATGGGCGGGCCAGGTCAGTCTCTGGCTTTTAATTAGGCCAGGATCAGCCACAATCCAATTATATGATAACATGGTCTGCCATACATCCATTTCACCACGAGCTGACCGGCCTTGAACGAGGTAAAAAGTTCAGTTAAGCTTCAGATGGGACTGTACTGCCAGGCAGCGATCCATCGCCCAAATGGACGTTCATTCAGCTGCTGCACTCAGCTGACGCGCGCGGCCGATGACCCAAACAAGTGAGATCCCTCAATCCTGTCAGAGCTGTCCACATGTCTCAGTAATTTAGACTAATGGCGTCAGACACAGGGTTTAAATGCTTTTTTATGGCCATGAAATGACAAACACCTGCAGCTCAGAATCTTTTGCCGCTTTTATTCAGCGGCACGTCCCCGACCGTTAATAACTAATTAAAAATGGTGGGGTTTTTTTGGGTTCGGACCTGTAATTACTGTTAATTCGTCGGGTTCGGAAATTATGACTGCGGGCTGGGGCCGAATCAGACTTTTTGGGCCCAAATGCAACTCTAAGCTCACTGAACAGCGTGGTCGCATTAACCACCCCTACTTCCCATTTATAGCCGGTCACACAACAGTTGATGCAAACCCTGGGGAGAAATAAAGTTCTGCCCAAGCCTTGTGTTCAGAACAGGCAGGCTCCTACAAGAAGAAAACATCATTTTTGTCTTGAAGATATGTCAGCAAGAACAAATTTCTTCACTTCTCATTGGGCATTCCAGTTTATTTTTATTGTCTGCAAGCTAACCTAAAGAGCAGGTCAGCAACTAATCAGTGGACAAAGTTTGGCTTTAGGCAGCTGAAGATGTTCAGAGTAGAAAGTCGGGTTTTATTCTGGTGACGAGAAACAATCCTGGGTCAGGACCAATTTATTGTCATACAGTAAAACTAGCGGTCAGATGATTGGGGTTTTCAGTGGTTGATCATTAGAAATCAGAACAGCTGATGGGTGATTTATGTCCATTATGGCACATACATCAAAGTTTAATACTGATTAAAAGAGTAAATTCAATTCAGTTCAATTCAAATAAATTAAAACTTCTTTATTAAGAAATTATAATAAATAAATTAGTAAAGTGACTGCTTGTAATTTAGTGACAATTTCTGGAGTCCAATGATATTGTTTCATATTCTTATTTGTGCAAGAACTGATAGGAATGCTGTTAAACGTATAAAGTTCTATATTTTCTCTTTAAAACATTTCCCTGTTGTTAATAGGAGGCAAATAAGAGCAGGGCTGAGTATCAAGTGGAACAATTCTGTGTTGCCCACAATGATGCCTGAGTTTTTAATTGTCTTGGTAAGCTCAGGTCAGTGTCATTTATATGACAAATGGTAAAAAAACCAACTAATCTCTTAGCCAACTGATCCATTGGTCAACACCTAAATAAACCTAAATAATCACCGGTGAGTTTGAAGCCTACTTTCACTTCCTTAGAGCAGGAAAAACAAATGCTTTGTGACTATCATAATGTAAAGCAACAGCCGGTGTTTGCCAAAGGAAGAGGAAATAAAACAGTTCATTCATAAAATCACGTTTGAAGACAGAAACAAGGATGGAGATGGAAACAAACACTGAACGTGAGACACCGTTCTTATGAGGCTCAAATAAGACACGATGGAAAGTCTTGGCAGAAACACCATAAGTGGAGCTTGTTCAACTTGACTTAAAAAGAGAAGTGAAAGAAGAACGGCGACAGAGAAAAGCCAATGTTCATTGGAGACCGTGGGCTGCATACACCTGTGAGCCCCGCAGCCTTTAACACTGGCCCTGTTAGATGATTGAGTAGAGCTCAGATTGTGTCGAGAGCTTCTGTAACTGAAAGGTCAAAGGCAGCAGCAGGAGGGACAAGCTCATCATTCGACTGTCAACAAACACCAGGAGACCACAAAAGCCACCTTGGGGTCTGGAGACTCTAATGGAGCCACCGATAGACCACCCACCCTCCTGGATGCACAGAATCACATCACGCCTGGTGTGGCAGGTGATTCATCACATTACCTCTGAGGGATAAGTGGGGCGTGTGGATTAGAGGTGGGAAAGAAAAACCACTGACGAGTAACGGTGAAAGTCAGGAATGCTTACCCTCTGCTCCTGTGTGGCCACAAAGGTCTGGAAGCCAGGGGCCACGCCGAAGCCCAGTTCGTGGACAAACGGAGGCTCCGCCTGGCTGTGGATCTGCACCCGCACACCTGCTTCGAACGCCGTGTCGTCTGCAAGCAAGAAGAAGGCCAATTACAGAAACGTGACCTTTTGACTAACGCAGGTCATTTAGAACAAGGGAGCTGAAAAAACAAGCTGTTGATGCTCAGCAGATGCTGAGAGTCAAAACTCGAATTTCATGCCGGAAATAGTTTTTTTGCAATAATTTTTAAGACTTTCATCTCAAAGCTTCAAGCTTTTAAGATTGTTTGTGCGATAACACACACACTCAAAACATCCCATTTGTTGTGACATCAAACACAGGTAGGGAGGAAGGCTCGGTGCCGAGTCCACAAGATGAAAAGGCCTTTATCCGTTTTTAGAGCACTATAACACACACACACACACACACACACACACAGAGAGAGAGACACGTGCACACACAATATTTATGGACAAAGAATAAACAGTGCTTGTAGAAATCAATAGTGCTTCACATTCAGAGGTGAACGCAAACATTCAATCAAGACTTTTCCTCGTCTGCTGATCAGCCTGACACTCTGAGGTGCTCCGCAGCCACGGAGTCTCTCAGCACGACCCGCCTCACAAATCGACAACGTGCACATACAAATTCACAACAGGCCCCCCCTCACCACCTAGATGCACTCATCAATCAAACGTCAGCGGTGGAGACGGCATGGGTGCTGTTATATTAAGGAACAGATGAATGGATCAAACAGGCTTTGTTGAGCTTCTGAGAAAACATCACTGCACAGTGTGTGTGTGTGTGTGTGTGTGTGTGTGTGTGTGTGTGTGTGGGCAAGTGTTGCTCACATTTAGGTGACATAAATCTGTTTGCACAGTTATCAGGACTCCTGTTCTCTGAGAGGACATACATCTGTTCTCTTTGTATGTAAATCACGACATCACAAGGTGATTGTAAGGGCAGGTTCAAGTTGAGACTGTCATGAGTCTCCAGAGAACAAATTATAAATCTATTAAATGTCCTTTGAAGAAGTTAAAGCGTTGAAGAAATGCATGTCACCCACCGTCTTTCATGCCAGTTTTAGATAAAGACCATCTAATGTTGAGAAATAGAGTTGCAGCTGTTGGGGTCAGACATTGAACAGAAGGTCCTCTGGATGGTTTATTTTTTGTTGAAACTTTTCGTCCTTCATCCAAAGGACTTCATCAGTCCGAGGAGCCACAACAAACTCAGTCCCACAAGAAGCACGCTCACATAGTGGACCAACCAGTTGGATGGTGATAAGATGGTTGCCCCTGCGGTCATGGATGCCTCAGAGGAGTCGAATGGCGAGAGGGCGGACTCCAGAAACCATCTTATCACCATCAAACTGGTTGACCCACTATGTGAATGTGCTGCTCGTGGGACTCGGTTTGTTGTGGCGCCTCAGATTTAAGGACGAAACGTTTCAACAAAAAAAAAAAAAAAAAAAAAAAAGAAACTGTCCAGCGGACCTGATTTAACGTTGGATTTTTTACCAGGATTATTGTGCACGAACTTTGATGTATTGAACAGAAGATTGTGCACAATCTCAAGCGATCTCCTCCTACATGTCTCTGCGTGAGTGCAGCTACAGCGTGCGCTCTCAGGACATTATTACCTGCAGTGTTCCCTCAATGAGGACTGAACTAGGCAAAAGGGCCTTCTCCTATTCCGCTCCTGTTTCCTGGAATATCTTACAAAAAGATTTGAAGCTCTCGACCTTGACCTCTCTAAGTGTCTTTAAGAATCTGTTGGACTCCTGGCAGGGTCCAATGCTGACATGTTCCTGTTGTTAGTTTTCTACATTTGTCTTGGAATCTAGCTGTTTTTTGTTTTGTTACCTTTTCCTTTTAGCCATCATATTTGTTAAAAAAACAAAACAAAACTGTAGTATGCTTTTTTATAACTGTTTATTGTTGTTGCTGTTGTCCATTGTTGTCATCTTTCTTTGTTGAAATCAGGTCTCTCTTGTAAATGAGTCCTCGAGGCTCAATGGGAATTACCTGTATAAATAAAGGTTGATTGATTGGTTGATATGAGTCCACACTCAGAGAATGTTATAAATGACTCTCAGCTACTACCATGTCAAACTCTGCTCATTACCTGTACAACTGACTGAGTTATTCCTTCTTGCATTAAATATTTGTATTTATATAGCACCTTTCTATCTGATCAAGATACTCAAAGCACTTTACAACACGATCTGTGCCCTCATTTACCCATTCATACACTGAAGAGACACATATCGGAGGCAATGGTGGGTTCAGTGTCTTGCCCAGGGACACTTCAGCATGTGACTGCTGGTGGATTCGAACCCCCAAATCTCGCATTGGAGGATGACAACGCTAAGCACTCAGCCACAGCCGCCTATATCTGCAGCAACTACCTTGAAATGAGTTAACTTCAAAAGTTAATCATTTATAGACGTGCATCCAGCGATTACTTCTAAAATTACTCATGGTGGGCGATAATTAAACGTGTTTTTCTGTGTATTTTATTTGTTAAAAACAAACAGCAGCGTTTGAGGGTTGATTGATGTCAGCTCCTCTGTGACAAAGAACTCAGTGAACATATATATTGTAATTCAGCATCTTCACATGTGAGGTTAGTCATTAGGCAGTGTCCATTCTGTCCCTAAAAATATCATGTCCCGACTGACGACTCTTACATATTTTATGTCTCATTCAGTGGCGATAGGATTCATTTACAAGCAACTGCAAACACAGGATCTGTGCACACCATCTGTCCCAAAGTATTACGCAGATGTACTCGATGCACAAGTACCTGGTATTCAGTCACATTAAGGATAACTCTTAACTGGAGTTAGTGGGAGAGCTCATATCTCTCCAGTTTTAGCTTCTCTCCATTGGTTCCCTGGCAAATCCAGAAAATAATTCAAAATCTTACTTTTAACCTACAAAGCTCTCAACAACCTAGCTCCATCTTATATTATAAATCTTATTGTTTCATATTTTCCTAACAGAGCACTTCGCTCTCAGGCTGCAGGTTTACGTGTGGTTCCTAGAGTTTACAAAAACAGAATGGGAGGCAGATCTTTCGGTTCTCAGGCTCCTCTCTTGTGGAACCAACTTCCAATCTCTGTCCGTGAGGCTGACACATTGTCCAGTTTTAAAACTAGGCTTAAGACTTTCCTTTTTGCTAAATCCTATAGTTAGGGTCGGCTTGGGTTTCCTGAGTTGTCCCTTAGTTATGCTGCTATAGGCTTAGACTGCTGGAGGACAAACTGACCACAATTTTCACTGTGCTACTGTCTTTACTTACTCTGCTCAACATTTGTAATTATTATTTCTATCCTTAACATGCATTTTTTTTTTTTTTTGTCTTTCAGGTACACCTGGACCTATACCTAGACCTGCCATTCTGTGTCCGTCTGTCTCTCCTTCCTGTCCTCTCAAACCAGCCGGTCAAACCAGATGGCCGCTTGTCCTGAGCCCGGTTCTGCTGGAGGTTTCTTCCTTTTAAAAAGGGAGTTTTTTCTTTCCACTGTCTCCACTGTGCTTGCTCAGGATGGGAGACTGCAACGAAGCCAAGATTCAACTTGTCTGCTGGATTCCTTAGATAGAGAACTTTACTAATTGGCTTTCATGTAAATGTTTCTGTAAAGAGCCCTGAGACAACTTTGTTGTGATTTGGCGCTATATAAATTACCTGAATTGAAAAAATTAAGGTACAAAAAACATATTAGGATCTGAAGCTGATGCCGGCTTGACTCATAGTCATGTTTTGGACAGTTACTACTCAAATGAGTTAAAGTAGTAGACAACCAAAAGAGGGGCGTCTCTCACAGGAAATGTAATTAAGTATGTTTGCTGTTTGATTGCATTTTGTTAAAAAGTTTATCAGGATTTTAAATTGACATACTGGTTTTCACTCCAGGGTAAAATGGATGCTCTCAGTTCAAGCCTTAAATTTAGCCTGCATTTATGAACAATGATTTAAAGTGAAACTAGGGTTTGGGAAATGTAGAATCAGTAATATATTGCTTTAGTCTAGTTTTTAGAGAATTGACCAAATAGCAGCTCTTACATTATATATTATAATTAACCACAGTTGCTAAAAGATTAATAAAAAAAACACACACACAAAAAGCTGGTAAAATTAAACAAAGTGGCATGTTCCCTAATTAAAATACACACTAAATGGTATTTATAAAAGCATAGTCAACACAAACCAAAAGAAGTATGACTCAAATTAAGAAACATCTTATAATATTAAGTTTAAGTGTTTTATTAATGCAACAATTAATGTTCAGCGAAGATGAGAAACAGTGGTTTAAAATTACTGAAGTAATTCTGAGAGGTGCCAATGCAGCTGCTGCTCACATTTACAGTCTAACTTGGTAACAACCTAATCAAAGAAAAATGTCTACATTTTAATCAAAAGAAAAAAATACCCTAAGTTTAAAGAAAACTAAATCAAAGCTGCTGCCAGTGGTAAATTATGGTCACCGTGGTAACCACACTTGAGTCCCTCACTCGATGAGATACAGATTTTTATTTCCAACAGGTTAATAAAAAGAGACGACTTTAATTTTTATACAATAGGCTGACAATGCATAAGCATTGAAACCCTATTATAAAAATAAAATAAAATGCCTTTAATACTTGGAATGATTTTAATTATTTTTCGTCACGTTCAATGAAAAACCGTAGTTTCCAGTACATTCTCGCTTCCTCTGCTCCGTTTTGTCACATGTCACAGTAACTTTCCAATTATTGTAGTTCAAGCAGAACTAATTTGCACTAACTAGTACGTCTTGTGTTGCTGTTTGTAAGTGGAGTTCAGTCTATTAGTGGTTTTGTATCCATACAAATATAATAAAATAAAATAAATACTTCCAATAAGACAAATTAAACAATATAATTATGTGATTGTTTCATTGACCTGGTTGTATTGGACAGAACGATGAGATGAATTTAAAGACAAAACAAAACTTGTTCTGGGAGCGCCCAAATGAAACGAGTGAAGAGGCCTCATCTTCTAGATGCCAAAGCTGCACGATTCTTTTTTTTTTCAATTCAACCTTTATTTATACAGGTTAGT